CCCACCCCTCCCACCAAGCAATTTTTCAATTTTTAAAAATCATGACCATTCATACAATAAAGAAAGAGATGTATATATATATAGCAAGACAGTGAGAATAAAAAGTTAGACAGTGGTCCATAACTTCTGCTAGGGTTACTTTGCAAACGTGCAGGAAAATCCATGCTCTCGATTTAGTTGTGCACACCATTCTTTGTTCTTTCGATCTGGATTAGAGTGAAAAATCAGAACAAACATACGAAAGTTGAAAATTCAAAAGTGAACCATTTATTAAGTCTTGGGCCCCTTGTTGGACTACAGGACCTGTGCACCTCAGCTCCCTTTGACCGACTGATGGATTCAAACCCTGCAAGCTTTTAATCTCTTAATTTACTTCGACATGCAAACTGTTAAAAAGTACTCTTAATAAATACAGGGCTTACAAACCTGTACAACTTTTGTCTCCCCTTGCATGGCTGCAATCACCAAAGGCGTTGTCTTCTGACCATCATGCTCTGTGGTATGGTTCAGGATCTCCTTGACCACCGATTTGTCCATGTTCCACAGCAATGCAAAGATGCTGATGGCCATACCCTCTCTCGCAGCCATATGTATCCTGAACTTGAGCTGTTCCATATCACTTACTGAGAGGGATGATGCCATGACTGCAGTTTAGCTACCACACTTCTAAAATTGTAGCCGTCGTTAGAAGAAAACGTTAATCACCAGTTTTTTAAATCTAGGGTCAACAAAACCTACCAAATTATGAATGACTTTTTGTTTTATTGCAAACAAGAAATAAATGTGCAAATCACATTCACTCCAGCGACAAAACTAAGAGGTAAAAATTTTCATCATGCCAGGCATTCCTTGTCAACACCAAAGCTGTGGCCATACAAATCTGAAAAAGAAACAAAATATGTCAATCATTAGCAGTTTGAAAGGCCTCTAGCTTTGATGACATTGTTGAAAGTGACTTTGACAATACAAACGGTATATTATCATACAAGAAATCATAAGTAGCTGTAAAGCGTAAGACTCTGCCTTTTATAAGTCGTTTTGAAAAGTGACACTCTAACACAGAGCAGTCGTGGGTCTAATTATAATATTATTCCTAACTTTACCACTCCATTATTTATTAGCTTTATATTGTGGTGAAACCGGGTGCTAGTCAAAATAATGAAATCTAAGAAAGCAACATTTTCCACAGGTTGAGCTATATTCATTCGTAATTTTTTTGGTTTTAGTTTCAGTTTCAGTAGAGTTTTTACTGGGCGCTCGCTACTGCATATAACATGATATTAGGTCATATCAGCGCCAAGTGGTGGATGTCAACAAAGAAGTCCATAACAGGGAATCAGGCTTACTCTGCTCACCTCTCTAGCTTCAACAGCACAGAGTCTGTCTGCTTCACGACTATAAAAGCAACCCCGAAATAGCGATAGTCAGGATTAGGAAAGAAAAAGCAGCAGTTCCGCGTTTTAGGCACAGTTATGAGCATGACGTTGATGAATCAGCCCATTTACAATACTATTCTTTTGTGCATAAATAAGAACGTTGTTAATGTCCCCCCCTTTGGGAATGGCCTGAAGACACTTCAGTCAGTAGCACATTTGTGTAAAACAATAAATTTAATATTTGTGAGTAAAACAATGATGAACAACAAATGTGCCGCACTATACTTAACTGTGGACTAAAACTAAAGCATGAAACTAATGGGGTGAAAGTAAAACAATACCAGTACCGATAACTCCACATATTTATATAT